GACCCAGAAAGAAAATGCTTCATGTCCTTTGCTCTTCCATTTCATTCCCTTACAACCAAACAATAATCTTTCCTCATGCGTCCTCTGAATTCCTTCCTCCTTCCCTCCCTCCCTCTGTTTACTCATATTAAACACACCAATCCTCTTTCTCTTCTTAAAAATAGAACAGACAAGAAATCATTGTCGCGACGCTAATAATCTCATCTCCAGATTAAGGAGTTTGTTATAATAATAAATTTCAGGATTACCATAATCCTATTTTTTCTTCGCTGTAATGACGTCACGAGACTTATCAACAATATGCCAGCTGTGTAATAAAATTGTTCCCATGCAATAAAATTAAAAATATTATTGCCACCTTTAGGTCAATAAAATGAATCACCGCCGTACACTTTCTGGCTAAGGAAATCTGTCACCGTACATCTGTTACTTCAACTGTTGCCATGTTAAACAGAGTGGTCTAATGCCTCGGTTTATCCGTTAAAAACCACTCTAATTATGCAATAAGCACTTAAGAGTTCAGACTGATTGGAAAACTAGTGCTTTTTTGGAGCTCTGTCTCAAGTTAGGCGAGAAGAGAGCAAGCAAGGTAAGTGCTTTTTTTTTTCTTTCTCAGTGCTTTCCCACTGGTTGATTGACCACTAATGGTTCATTTCCCTTTCTAAGCCAATTGGATTTATTATTATTATTATTATTGCAATGTCCTTCTTAAGCTTTTTCTATTTTTGCGATTTTCATTCTGCCAACATTACATTCCTTGAAAAATGAATTGTTTATGATTTTTTTGCTATCGATGTTTTATATACACTTTATCGTTATCAAAAAAGAAAAAAAATTGATTGTAACTACTCGAAAGAAATTATTATCGCCAATTGCTCTACCTTGTTGTATACACGTTGATATCGATTTTTTTTTTTTGGGTTCCTTGACAATCGAAAAATATAAGGTTCATGAATACATAACCTTTTTTGCACTAAATTTTTTGTTTTTGAAGCATGTGTTTTTTGCCTTGAGAAAAATAAAGGCGATATAATTCAAAAAATACATTTGAACACGATTTTAAATGCCCAGGAATTCAAGATATACGCAAACTTGATATATTTATGCGTGTGTGCGTGAAAAATGAATATCAAGATCACGATATATTTATCATACTGATAATTTCACGATATTTGATACATTTTTATGGAATTTTAATATAATATTTTATAGATATTTTATTCCATTCTCTCAAGCGACTGCCAAGGAAATCGGGGGGAAAAAAAGAAGATGTTTCATTAATTTATTATATTCTCTCTCTAATAATATAATAAATATTACAGATAATACACCTTATGTCATAAAGCTGATGATGCATCTTTCAACGTACGTTATAGAATATAATGCGTGTTTTACTGTACTCTTTTGTCGTGTTATGTAAAGAACTTTTTCAATATAATAAAGTGTCATAATTTTATCAGCGCTGTTAGGTAGGAATAATTTTTGGTCTGACATTATTACAAAGAGAAATACAATGAAATTTAAATTTATAATTTGGGTTAATCTCATTTTGTACCCCGAAAGATAGTTCGAATCTCAATTTATACCCTCAAAGAGCAAAAATCTCAATTTATACCCTCAAAGATAGAAATTTATATCAATGTGCACCCCCAAAGATCAAAAATCTCAATTTACACCCTCAAAGATAGAATGGTGTTTATTATGCCAACTACTAACCTCGTCAATTAGGATTCAAGTAAGTGGAATTAATCTTTATTATGGATATATTTAGTTTTATTTGAATCACTTGGAGATGAAGTATTACACAACCAAATTATAGGATGATAAAATAAAATTTGTCCTTTTACATTAATTTTTTTTTTTTGGGTAAAACAATAAATTTTATTAAATAAGAAATGAGGCTTTTTGCATATTATTATTTCGGCACATTTATCCAAAAATAATAAGAATTCAGTAAACTACAAGGTGACTATCATATGCCATTTATATATTATTCCATGTCTTTAATTTTTTCAATAAAGTACTTGGAAAGAAATTTTGTATAAGAAGTAACAAAAATTCTAGGATAAACTACTCCAAAACAACCATGAATCAGTACTTGATTTTTGAAATTCTCCCTCTCTCTCACACGCACACAAAGGGTAGCAAATATGTATAGGAACTATTTCACTCACTTTTGACAAAATAAAATCGACAAAAATTGGCAATATAATTTTAAAAACTGAAGGATACCCATATAAATTTTACAAAAAACACAAAAGGTATTTTTATAATTTACCCAATTTGCAAGGAAAAAAATTAAAAAAAAAAAAAGTTGCAACTGAAAGAGTTATTTTTATGCTCCGTTTTGTGTTTGGCAAGATGGATGAAAAATAAAAAATGATTAATTTTTTTTTGTGCTAGTTAAGATTAGGGGTGACAATTAAGTCGTGTCGTATGAGGTTCGTATTGAGTCATTACAGGTTTGTGTCAAAAATTAGTCAAATCTTACTCAACTCATTTAACTAATTGTGTCGTGTCGAATTGACCTATTTATTTTCTTGTTGTTCGTGTTTATATCCGTATTGACCCACATAAACTTTGAATAAAAAATTTAATGCTAATATTTTATTTTTACTTAATTGAATCTATGTTCATATTTTTTCTATAAACTAAAAATTAACTTAAATAAATATTATAATAATAATAAGTAAAATTTTTATATAATAATTATGTCAGTTCTTAATAAATAGTTATAAATAATTAATATTTTATGTCTATAATATTAACTAAAGATGTTAGTTTTGTGTTAATTTCGTGTTACTATACAAACGAGAAAATAAAGAAAGTGTTTATTTTTAAATAAATAGAGTGATAATGTCAATTTTAAGTTTGACGGGTTGAACTGAATATGAGACATTTATATTTCTTGTTTGCGTGTTAGGTCATTTTCAAGTTCGTGTTGAGTTATAATAAAATTTGTGTAATAAAATTCGTGTCGAGTTTGAATTGTGTCATTATGTTGAGTCGAAAATTTTCACACCTATCTAAGATGGAAAAAAAAATTTAATTTAATATTTTTTTTAATTTTAAAATTTATTTTATATATATATTATATATATATATATATATATACACACACATATTTTATTATTATATTTTTATATAAAATTATTGTATACATAATATATGTATATATCAAAAGATATATAGACAAATAAGATACATTTCAAAACAAATAATTAATTTTTCATCCACTTTCTTTTCAATTTTGGAGAGATTGATTTTGGTGAGTTAGAAGGAAAGTTAATTCATTTAACTTTTTATCTTTTTAGTTTTCCTTCTTTACCAAACATGATATTTTATTTATTCCTTCAACTTTTCATCTTTTTATTTTTCAATCCTTCAATTTTTCTATCTTACTAAACGGAGCATGAATGATAGAAATTGTATCTCTCATATTTTTCACCCTTCCTACCAAACTGAGCATTAGTATTGTACTTTTATTTTTTATTCAATAAAATATAAATATTTTTATTTTATTATTTTTATGATCAATTAATATAAATTAATCAAATTAAGATCTATGACCTTTAATCAATTTTGATATTAGTATGACATCCACATTTTGCAATGGGCGTGACAAACTTATCCAACATGTTAAGATACTAGTGTAATGAATTTTTTTTTTTCGATGACATATTTTTAAATAATTTTGAACCTTATATCTTATTTTGATTTATTTATTGATTGTTAATCATTAAAATAATAAAATGAATAAACTTTATATGATGTCAAGTTTTTATTAAAAGAAAGAGTTAATTGTATTGAAAGTCTCCAAAATATATGATTTGTCTTATTTTGGTCCATAATATTTTAAGTGTTTCACTTTAGTCCCTGGAGAATTAAATATGTTTATATGTGGTCCCTTAAACAGACAGAGTTCAAATTACTAACAATTATTGATTATAAATTTGTCAGGTAATACCTAAATATAGGCAAAAAAATAATTTGGATAACTCTTGATCAAAAGTATGTAATATGGATAAATCTTGACCAAAATTTAGATAATTTATGATCAAAATTGTATAATGTGGGTAGCTCTTTGACCAAAAATTAGTCAAGAGTTATTTAAATTATTTTTTTTGTCTATGTTTAGGTATCATGTGACAAGTTTATGATCAAAAATTATTAGTAATTTAGATATTGTCTATTTGAGAGATTACATAAAAAAATATATTTAATATTTAAAAAATTAAAATAATAAAATTAAAATATTGAAGACTACAACGGCACAATCAAAACTTCCCATGCTTAAAAGAAAAATATCAAAAAGTTTGGTTCTAGTCGGTCCCACATTGTTATTTTTACATTGCTGCTTGGGCGACGCGAAGAACAGGGGAAGAGATCCCCACAGCCAGTCCCATCAGACCCTAAGGGCACCTTGATGTGACCACTGGGGAGCTCTCTCTGTCTATCTCTCTGTCTCCTGCACCTTACCAATATCTCTTTTTGATCACACCCAGGATCAAAAAGAAAATTACGGCTCCATGGACTTGCAGTGTTTGTCAGAACTGCTTTATTTTTTGGGGTGAAATACATTATTTTCCATGTCAGAACAGTATTTATTGATGTAGTCTTTACCTGTTAGAACCCATACCCCCATTCTCATTTTACTTCAAAGGGGAATTTTTTCAAGTGGGTTTGGGGGGGTTTTTTGTATCCTATTGCTGACATTTTGTCCAAACGTTTGATAACCCAAACCCAGTAAGAAATTTGGGTTTCGAAATAGATAACTCATGGGGAAAGAGACTCGTAAGTATATGGTAGGCACAGTTAATATAAAATGTATATATACATATATATATAAGTATATATGCGTGTACAGTGGTGGAATGTAGGACCTAGGATGTGGGCATTTTGCTTGTTTGTTTTTGACACTGGACACTGAACAGTAGATGTAAATATATCTCATTATAATATTTATATATATATAGAGAGAGAGTAACAAACAGAAAAATATGTTGGAGCTGGGAGGAGCAAAGAGGAAGAGTGCCCGCATTTCAGCACTGGAGGCTTCAAAAAGCAACAAAAAGAAGAAAAACAATAGCACAGTAAAACCCAATATTCAATTTGAGCCACATCAACCCCAAGAAGTAGAAGCAGCTTCTCTAGAAGATGCCACACCATCAACTGTCATGGAGGTGGCTTCGGGCAGCGGGCAAAAAAAGCCTCTGCCCAAACCCAAGAGGGGTCCCAGAAGGAAAAGACTCGATGAAGTGGCGGGTACTTCAGTTACTAAGAGGACCCGAAAGGTACTGACCTATTTATGTCTGTTTGTGTCCTGTTTTGCATATATGCTTGTGCTTATATGTGCATAATTAATGTACTCCTTCATTGATGATACTTTATCAGGGTTTGATGGCATGTTGGAATTGAATTTCTTGTTTTTGTATAGTTATATATCAAAGAGCTTTTGGTTTTCTATGCTCTGAAATTTCTTGGATATGAGACGATGCAATGGTATTAATAGGTGGTGAAGTGAAAATGGTTGGTGTTAGTCAATGATATCATTTATGAGTAATTGACATGTTTTTGTCATACTTTTCTAGGCAGGATTAACTAGAATTGTGTCAAGCCTAACATAAACTTTACTCTCTGCATTTTCTATTGGTATTCGAATGTGATGTTGCTGTGAAATGTGACTTCAAAATGTGAACCCAAATCCAGTACATTTGTTTATTCACAGTAATTTAATAGTGCCTCTCAAATATCTTGATACCTATACAGCTTTTGTTGGGGTTGAAATTTGATTGTCACCTGTTGTATCTGTGCGATCTAGTTGCAATCAAAGAAAGAAAACTATATGAACCAATGTTAACATGCTTGACTAATATCACAACTACGATATTTGAAACTGATGTTCTCTGCTGCTAATTGTAATTTTAAATCAATTCTATTGAAAGGAATATTCACTAATGGAGATGCAATTTCCAGAAAACCTGAGAAAGAAATAGGCCTAAAGTATTCATATCAGAGTCCACATATCGTATTACTAGTGCTAGAATAGGAAATGAATGTGTTCTACATACTTGGAAACATCAATCTAAATTTACCATAGTGAAGTCAATATATGGTGTAATGAGGGGAGAATTCCTAAGAATCAAGTAAGTATAATCCTCTTTGGCATATTGGAAAAAAGTGATAATCCATCCGGAAGTCCATGAGAGTACCAAATTATCTTTTTTCTGTCCTTTGGCTCTCCCTTTTTCTGTGAATCCTTTAAATGGGTCTATATACCTCAGGATGTGAATAATCCATTTGCCAATGAAGTGACCTTATATCAAGTGTTATCTAGCCTATTAATTACAGGTAGCAGTGGCACCATTTCTCATAAGCATACTTCAAGGAGCAACACTATTTTTCAAACTACAAAGAGATTATCTTTGTTCAATCCTTAAAGCTCCAATTAATTCAGGTTTTAAAATGAAAATGTGTGCAAGCTTGTGAAAGAGAATTCGATAGTGAGTGTAGGCAGAATCAGAGTGAGAAATGATAATGTAGTGAACGCACATGGACATTTGGCTGTGTTTATGTTTAGTATCCCAAATAGAGCAGCACTGTGGCCATTTAAATGAAGCACCATTGGGACTTCGCCCTTATAAAGGCTTCCAGGGGTGTGAGGGGTGACAAAGCCATAGGTGCAAGGCCAATGATCTCTCAATTAAGAGTTCAAACATTCATCAACTGCATCACTTTGAATATACGCCTGCATTCAAGTTCAATCATCAAAGCAGCACCAGGGGAGATAGGTGAATCTTGACTAACTTTTAACTCTAGCTTCCATTTTAACACCCTTAAGCCATCCCGTAGGACAATGAGGAGATACTTGAATCATTCTGCCTGTATGCATCAAAGATCATTGAGCCATCTAAACCCTTGGTCTCTTCTTAGTCAAGCTGTATTCTTCCATGTGTCATGCTAGGATGCCTTCAAGTATTGTGCTGAGTAGGATGTCTTTATTGGATGTTTCAGTAAGCGTCTCTAAGGACAGTATGGCACATTGTTTAGTGTCAACTATTTACAATAGTGACACGACAGAAGCAAATAGCCTGAGTTTTCTCATTTTTTTGCATTATGCTCACTCAAATGTGATATTAAATCAAATTGTTATCCGGTAATATTTATTAATTGTTGCTTCATATATCTTAAGTTTGTGCTAGTGGGTGATTTTCATAATGAGCTCGGGATTGTTTTGATCACTTAGATAGGATCTACTGGGTCTATTTATGAAAACTTAATTTCTCTGTTCATTTTGTTTCTTGATTGATTTTCATTGACACGCAGGATGGAGAAATTCCAAAGCATGATGATCCTTCCACCAGTAAGGCCGAGACTTTTAATTTAATCAAGAGATGTTTATCACATTGCCCTAATCTAAAATTCTTTTCATCTAGTTGTTAATGATTCAGTATTATTTACATATGATAATCCAGCAAATTTGGCATCTGCTTCACCTTTACCAGAGAAGCATATACTTGAGTTTGTCATTGACATCTTGCAAAGGTGAGTCCTTTCTTTATTGTGTGTTCTTATATTTTTTCTGCCCATATGATGATGCTTAAAAAATTAACAAAAGAAAAGTTTTCAGTTCCACAGATTCTAATATGTTTTCACTATATTGTAGGAGAGACACGAATAATTCTTTTGCGCAGCCAGTTGATCCTCAGAAAGTAGCTATTCCTTTTCTTAGTTCCACGCATTCAATCCATTTTTCCTCCAATTTACAATGACTATGGATTTCTGCAATGCAAGGTGGTAGGATATTACCATATCATTAAGGAGCCCATGGATTTTGGGACCATGCAAACCAGGTTGCAAGAAGGCATGTATAAAACTTTAGAAGCATTCGAGGTTTGCTCCATAATGAACTAATTTTTTTATTTTTAATGCAATTTGTTTGCCAATAGCAGATCAATATGTGGGGCGCCAAAAATTTCGTGAGAGAGAGAGAGAGAGAACATATCCAAGTATCAAAAAAATACGTTTCTGCCGAATTAGCTCTTTAGAATTATCAATACTGCTGAGTAATTGATTATTGTTTAATACCTATGTACAGAGTGATGTTCTGCTGATTTGCAAGAATGCCATGCATTTTAATTCATCAGCCACCATATATTTCAGACAGGTTTTCCATCTACTCCAGTACTCCTTATGATTCTCTGAAGAAAAAACTAGATAACATTTTTTTTTTCTTATTCTCTTTTCTCACAAAATGGAAAATGTTATATTTTCAGGCTCGTGCTATACATGAACTGGCAAAAAGGGTCTTTCATGTTCTGAGAACTGACTACAAGACAATTGAACATAAGTTCTCCGTGGAAACAAGACAAACTGGGAGGAAACCCCAAGGTAGAGGTAGAAGTTTGCGCACTAGGCGTGGTCCTAATGTTAGGAGAAGTAATCAAAGATGTCGTGGATCATCCAATGGTAAGAATCAAAGTTGATTGCTGTTTCTGTCCTAGCCCATTTTGTAGACATGGTGAGTCAAAATTACTGGAAGACAATAGCAGAGGCCACCAGTGCTGAGATTCTCATGTTGGACTTCTGTGGATTGAATACTAAAATGTGGAACTCTTCCTAAAATTTCTATATTTCTTCCATTCACCATATTAAAAGGGCCTACCACCTGCATTTCCTACCTTGGACCTCTATATATAGAATAAATATTGGGTGTAATGGTTACACCATGTCAGAAATGGTGATGTGGTGTAACCATCCAATAAAAAACCTAACAAATGGATAAAATGGGGTCCATTTTCTATCATGGAGATGGCTATGCATTACATGACTAGGTGATTATAAATTTTTGTTTGACTCACTTATAGACTTGTTTACTTATTAGTAGACGATTACACCCAATATTTTTTCATATATCAACTTGCAAACACCTACATAATGCATGCTTTGCTTCACTTGCCTCAAGTAAACTTAACATCGATTCTGCTTAAGACTGGTTTTTAGACATAAATCTGATGACTTTTAGTATATTGTCAAAATATTTACTCCTCATGATGTCTGTCTATCTAAAAAACTTAATAGATGTGATCCTTGTGCCTCATCCATAGAAACACTTTTTGAATTGTTTCATTTCAACTAAAGGACATAGAGTTGGGACTCGTCGAAGTAAAGCTAAGTGAACTGTTGGTGTTGCAGCACATATTAAGATGTTGATGATGATAGGGTTTGTATTAAAATAATGATAATCTGATGGTCTGTGCAAACATGAGATTTTTACTTTGAAGTACTATTGCCAAAAGCTGTTATGCAACTGCTTTCGTCCTTTGTCATATTTGGACTGCTTTCATTTTATCTAGAGTGTTTACTTGCATTGATTATTGGATACTATATTGCAGTGGAATTCTAATAATCTTTCCTGTTTACCCTATTACTAAACAGGATCTAGAGATGGTAATGATGTGGATTTGCCAGCAAGACGCGAAACACACAGGCTTTTTTCCCACAGTGAGAACGAGTCCATTCCTTCAGGAGTTTCCAGCAGTTTGGAACAAGTGTCTGTGAGTACCACATACCAACAAGCACAAAAGAACACTTAATACACCAAATATTGTGTTGCTTAGCCTGTGAACTCCCTGGATGCTGTCTGTAACTTCTGCTGAAAGATGATCGCGTTTGTTAACTTTAATCATCTGATTTCTACGCGGTTCTCTTCTGTTGATTGCACTCTATAGTCTATACTATCCAAAAAACTTTTTTATTGGCTGATTTTTCTGAGTCCATCTCTCCCTTTGCTTGCATTTTCGATTCTGGTGACTTCAATATGAAACTTCAACTTCAGAGATAAGGCTTTTAAAGTTAGTGAGTGATATGAACTTTTGTACTTTATGACATGCTATAACATGTTCAGGCAATATATCTATCACTTGATGGTTGATCATTTACTTGTAGTGTCCTTGTGTTCAATTGTATCTAAGATGATGATATGGTATCTTCAATTGTATCTTTTCCTCTGGAATTTAATTTACACCCTCTTCTCTATGCTGATTAATTTCATGGCATCACAGGATGATGGGAGATTTGACTACAGAGGAAGCTTGATGCGGTTTGTCAAAGATTTGGGGCCAACGGCTCAAAAGGTTGCTGACCAAAAACTAGCAAGATCTTTGACTGAGCCTTCTAATTATCAGTTCCAGACTCCTATGTGGTCAGTTCAGGACCCAAGAAGTCTGATTGCTTCACTGTCAGCACAATGGCAACCTCCTTGTGCGGGTGGTGCGACTGGTAGTCAAGTCGCTAGTGTCCTTCCTAAACTACCTGAGTACTCTATTAAAAGTAATAATGCCAATGACCAATTGGCTGTGCATTATGCTGCTACCAAAGGAATGAACGTTCTTACTAATGGAGGCCTGGATATCTATCCCGATGCTTCGAGAGGAACTGTAAGTATGGCTTTTGCAAGTGACAGAGTAGATAAACATAGTGCTGCATCAAAAGGGAAAAGTATTCTCACTATGGATAACATGGATACCTACGGTGGCACTTACGGGGAAAAGATGGCTCCATCCTGGGGAAGAATGAATACCCATGGTGCTTTTCAAGGGAAAACAGTTCCCCCCACTGAACTGAACGGAAGTCGCGGTGCTTCACAAGGGGAAAGGCCTCTGGCTACTTATAGTGAGGCCATAGATTTCAAATTGCCTGAGGAAAAGGTTGTGAACACATTGGGTGTGACGGACGCTTGGAAGCCTTTCAAAGGAATGAATCAACCCAGCAACCAAAAGAATCAATCTGGTTTAGTTTTCCCCTCTGCAGGAAATGTAAGGTTTAATAGTCCTGCTGCTCCTGCAGATGGGATCACAGATGCTGGCGGAAAACATAACCTTAATCTTCTTCAAGGGGTTGTGAGAGATGACACTGCTCATAACTATCAGAACAGGCAAAACAACTCATGCTTGCCTCGCTCCGGTGCTTGGACTCTGAACTTAAATACTCCACCTGCTGACCCCGAGGATGCATCCAGTAGGCACATGATCATGGGCATGATGGTGGACTCTAGCCAAGTGGGTAATCAGGTCCAGCCAACTCAGTTTGCATCAGGATCAATGTCAAGCCTACTTGAATTCATGGCTAGAAAAAATGGAAGTGCAAAATCATCTGTGCATCCTTCAAGAATCATAACGCCATCAAGGTCAACTCATACCACTACATTGCTGCATGACTTGGGCTCACATTCTCTGAGTAGCATAGAGCAAGCTGATGCTTCATTGAACCCCTGTTGTGGATCTAGCTCAGATCAGGTGAACCAGCCGGTGGAATGGAGCCGCTCGACACCATGGGGTCCCCAGACAATTTATAACTTTTCGGAGATTCAGCCACAGCTGAACGACGTGAATCCAGTGGCAGAGGATGCCTTGGTGCAGGAAGGATCGCAATCACCTGCCCCATACATGCAATTGCTGCATTCTGGGATTGGTCCATTGGACAAGGACATGTCAGTGAAGTATGAATCACAGCTAACACCAGCTCCACAAATGCAGCCAGGGCACGATGAGATGGATCAAGCGGGACAGGATGCATTTGGGCAGGATGAATTGCAGCTTGCGCTGGCTTCATTCAAGCAACCTGAAATGAATGAAATGAGTATACTGAGCCAAGACGCATTAGCACAGGCAGAGTTGCAATTCACTGTGACTCCATACACACAACTGCTGACAAATGAGGCAAATTCATTGGATGGAGGACATTATCCACTGGCTCGTTATGCACATCCACAGTCAAATTCTGTGAATGCACTGGGCCTGGATCGATTGGTACAACAAGAACCACAGCTAGGAGGGATTCCATATAATTCAAATTCATTCTGGCAGGAGGCATTGGTGAAGCAACCCGTGCAGCCTCGTCAAGGGCTGATGCATGATGCAAGGAAGGCTTATGTGAGACCTGTTCAACAAATCTGGGAAGGAGGAGGGATCAGTGCTCAGCACATGTGGAATGGTCAAGAAGGGTCTCCAAGCAGTACTCAATACCCTGATTTGTCCCTTCAGCTGAGACCCAAGCATCCATTCTTGTGAAGCTACAGAAGAATAGGTAAAGGAATAAGAATTGTGTTCATATGTGTTTGTTTTCAGACACTTGTTCTAGTTTTTTCCAGTCGAAACTTCAAATATGGTTTGATGTAGCAAAGTTTTGTTTTTGACTGTTTGGGAGGGAAGTTTGACATACTCTGAGTTGATGAGAAAAAAGTGGACAAGAGAAATGTAGAAGGATTATGGGAGTGAAAAATTAGAGATAAATATGGAATACAGCATTGTCATGTTTTGTTTGATGTTTTGATAATGAGCAATGCTACTTGAGCTTAGTTTATTGACCTAATTTGGTGATTTAATCATTCATAACTATTTGATTGACAGTGAGATTAGGGACGAAGCTAAGAATATTTGTAAGGGAAAAGAGAGGAAAATATAACTGAAAATAATTTACTAGTTGAAACAAAAAAAAACTAAGTTCAAGAATAAAAAAAATTTATTTAGCCAAAAAAAAAAATCTGAATGAAAATATACAAAATAATTTTTTTTTATTACATTTTAATACAATTATATATTTCAATAAAATTTAACGTTCTTTAAAATCTACAAAATTTTGTATATTAATTAAGTGTAAATTAATTTCTCACTAATTTCCTATCATTGTGCACAATTACAAATCCGTATTAAAATTACTCTTCATTTAATTGCGAAAGTTAGTTGAAACTATTATTGATCTTCCAAAGAAATCACGTATTTAAAATAAAATAACATATTTTGGGTTGCAATATTTTGTCTTTTGTATCCAATCATGTTTTGTATTACATGATGATTACATATGATTTATTTAATCCAAAAATAAAATATTTATTTTAGCGGGTTAATGAACCACTAATTTACTAGGAAAAAAAAAAGACTAGAATCATTAAAAAAAATTTCAAGAAATTTACCGGTGGAAAATATAATATATTAAATAATTTTATAGATCCTCATCAAATATAATCCAAAAATAAGGGTTGGCTGGTTCCCATGTGACTCCGCCCTTGAGACCCAATATTTATTAAAACCTATAACTAATTCAATAGTTATAATAAATTAAATCAACAAATTAAATAAAAATAATATTTTTCTTCCATAATTCAACATACATTTGATTATATGATGAGTTGGTTCCGATAGACAACAAACCAACAGAAGAAGAATTATACTGTATTTTTTGACATTGTATGTCTAGCAAGTGGGCCAGAGAAGGCTGGCAATCGAAACTTGTGCTTGTGTGTTTGCATCGTATTCTGGTTGATATGTAACCCAAGATCTCAAGATTAAATAAATACCTTTTTTAAATTAATTAAATCCATTATACATACATTCTCCATTACTTAAAAGTGTAATGCTCCGTTTGGTACGATGAAAAAATAAAAAAATAAAAAGTTAGAAGGAAGGAAAGTTGAAAGAATAAATAAAATATCATGTTTGGTAAGGAAGAAAAGTAGAAAAAATGTAAAAGTGGATGAATTAACTTTCCTTCCAACTCACCAAAATCAATCCCCCCAAAATCGGAAAGAAAGTAGATGAAAAGTTGATTATTTGTGTTGAAATGTATCTTATTTGTCTATATATGTTATATATTTCATATAAAAATATAATAGTAAAATATGTATATATATTTTGAAAAATTTTAAAAATTAATTTAAAAAAATTTTAAAAAAAATAAAAATTTTAAATTAAAAATATATATTTTTTCCATTTTAAATAAGGTGAAAATTTTCGACTCAACACAATGACACGACTCAAACTCGATACGAAAATAAATAGATCAGTTCACAACTTAACACGACACAATTAATTAAATGAGTTAAGTTAAGTTCGATTAATATTCGACACAAACTCGTAATGATTCAACACGAATCTGACAAAATACGACTCAACATTATTGTCACCCCTATCTTAGTTAGACCAAAAAAAAAAAAAAATAATTATTTTTATTTTTTATTCATCTAACCAAGCACAAAGAAAGGAAATTATATTCTTTCTACTTTCTATTATTGAAGGATAGAAAATATATTCCTTCTACTTTTCATCCTTCCTATTTTTCATTCTCCCTACCAAACGGAGGATAAGAGATTCATATCATAGCAAAACTAAATCAATAAAAAAATTTAATTCTCAAACAATTTTCATAGTCAAGTAGGTCCCTCAAACAAATAATACAAAACTATGACAAGAACATGTGTAGAACCACGGGTTCACCTAGGTACAAGTGATCTTGTCTCCATCCATAACATCTATGGATGGATCAGAACAGGCCCCAAGCAAACGAAAATGTTGTTTGTTTCTGAAAATCAAATCAATTATAAATGTTGAATTAAAAATCGACTTCATTCAACATTAAAACTCACAGCTTACTGAATAAAATAATGAATTAAATTCCTAGATTAATTTCTTATAACATTACTCCCAAACAAATGCTTCCCCTCTCCCGTCAGGCATAAAAAAATGTTATTTTAACTTAAAATGTTTACTTGATCAATTACAACCATTAAATAAATAGTAAGTTCTAATAAATATAGAGACTTACACTTAAATCAATAATAGTGATTAATCAAGTCAGCAAATCAAGTTAACGTGTCAAGTCCATGTAGCACATTGCTCCTTGGCATATACCATTCAAGGAATCACATAGCTAAGGTGGATAAATTTAGAGCAAGATGAAAACTACACTCTTTCCTATGCAATTCATGTTCTTGTAATAATCGAACCCTAGTAATCACCTTCACATAAAAGCATTAAGCACCAACATAAGAACAAGTAAGGAATACAAATTACAAGTTATCTCAGAACATGGGGAACTCGATATCATGCTTTCCCGCTGACCACCCAGCTGGAAGGAAAGTTCTCGTATTCAAAGAAAATGGTGAATCGATCAGAGTCAAGGAAGGCACACTCGTCAAAGATGTTTTAACGGCTCATCGTTATCACAAGGTAATACGATGCTGCGCGGACAGATCGGTCCTGCCGGGTTCCTATCGGCTGAGCAGTAATCAGCTTTACTTTCTATTGCCTGAGGGGTTAGACGTGTGTGACACAACCTATAGGAGTCTAATAAGGACAACGGTACTGTCCGACGAGACAATACTCTCAAAGGTGATCGATAAAGCCACTAATCAGAAGATACCATCGGAGGTCGGTATCATTGACGGGGAAGTTGTGGACATGGTTGTCTCTTTTGATGATGATCCAGGGCATAAGAAATCGGCTTGGAGACCAGCATTACAGACCATACCTGAGGTTCTTTCTCCAGCGGTTCATGCAGATGGATGATTGAAATGAGTCTCATCTTTATGTGTTGTTTGATTTTGTCAGATTGCCTCGATTGTTAATGTATCATGTACATGATTTTGTCAGATTGAAGTATTAGCAATCACAAAGAGATACATACATGTCTACAACCCAAATTAAACCAAAGAATCACACTTTTCTACTGCATGAATTACTCGTTTATCGTCTTCACAAAACTTGATTCAAAGTTGGGAAAAACACTGAAAAGTCCTATTTTTCATCGCAAAAACACAATTCAATCCTATCAAATTTGTAATTGAACAAATCAAGTCCTACTTTTCATAATTAGTTTCAAAAATGTCCTAATTTTTACTATATTTCATTTTTACCCTTTTAGTATTATTTAGGAAATTGTCATTCAGATCAAAACTTTAAATCAATTTTTGAGCTCTTCATATAAAACCATCTACATAACTCGTATGGGCTTTAAACATTAACAAAATTCAAGGCAAACCTGAACTTGAATACGCGGCAAAGTTTTTAACACATTTGGTTACCTCAATTATTTTTCATTCTAACTATATTTCTAATATCAACACTGTCATGCTTACCAATATTTTTTACCAAATTTTTCATCTCAAATAATGTAATACAATTTTGAACATCAAATAATGGGTCCCATTCAAAGGTGGTCCAAGGTAAAGTTAGACCCTAGGCAAAAGCTTTATATGGACCCTATTAATATTTTGTTTAATTTTATTTGTTATTTATTTGAAAACATTTTTTTTTGAAATACAAGATATTGATCAAATTTTTATATATTCAAATTTTGGCAATAAATCTTTCTCAATAGATAATAAAGCCAATTCATGCAATCATAGTTAATTCTAAAAAAATATGTGAAGAAACAATAATTTTAATACAATAAATTATCATTCTTTATTTACGAATTATGTGCACACATGAAGTACAAAACTTTAATAACACAAATCATTTAAGCATAAATTATTTAGACTGAAAAATTTATATTAAAATAAAAAAGAACCAATTTTATAATTTTTCACCACAACAAATAATATATATAAATTTTTTATGTGAGTAAGAAGAATGCAACTATGCACACCCAAAAAAGTAGAAAAACTTAAATAAAAGCTCATAGAGAGAGTACTTTTAGACCTAACAAAATTAGATAATTGAATTGAACTATTAAAATTTGGACCTTAAAATTTTGAATTATAACTAAAGAAAAATAAGTTAAAATTTTGAATTATAACTAAAGAAAAAAAAGCCTACTATACTAAACGGATAAATTTTATAAAAGCCCTCAAAAATTTGGATTTAATCAAGTAAAAAAAATTAGACCAAACAAAATTAAGTATTAATTAGCACTTTTAAAATTTGGGCCTTAAAATTTTGGGTCATATATAAACAAAAAAAATTGGGTCTATTATACTAGAGTAAATATTTTTTAGACCCCTCAAAAATTTGGAACCCTTTGCAAGCACCTTAGCTGCCTAGAATTTGGGCCGACCCTAGTTCTTTTAATATTCAATAATAAAAATTGTGTCACATCACTTGACATAAAAAACTTAATAAGCACAACATTACTATTACAATATATTAGAGGTAAACAAAAGAACATACCATAAATTCTTCACTGAAAAAACCCAAACCATAAATTTAAGTATATGCCCCACCCTAAAACACAACCACACTACACAAATTAACAGAAAAAAACACTCTCAAAGAACTTACAGAAAATTATGAGACAAACGTTGTGAGAGGGGAAAAACACCCCTTGAGTGTCTTTTTGGGGGGTTATTTGATTAAGGACAATGTCAATTTGTAATTAATATTAAAAGGGTAAAAATTGAATATAGTAAGTAGGCCTTATTTGGAACCAATAATAAAAAGTAGGACTTGATTGTTCATATACAAATTTAATAGGACTAAATCATTTTTTGAGACAAAAAAATACGACTTATTAGTGTTTTTCCCCTTCAAAGTTTTCAAAATATTCTAACAAAGCATACTTAGGTACAAATAGAACAGATTACAACCACCCACTTAATCCTCATTAGTCAGGGTTCTAGAGTGCTACATCGGGTACAAACCCAAGTGCCGATAAACCAAATAATTAACTATTTAAGTGTATCAAAATTAATAAAATCTCAAATTGAAACGATCAAGATGTTTTTTTGTGCTTGTTTACCTATTTGCAGGATTTTAAATTGTTTGTTTTGAACATGTGTCACAAAACATGTCGTCCAGGGGGGATAAACAACACATTTAAGTAGATCTGATAAACATATGCTATCAAAAAAACTGAGATGCAACCTTGATTCGATTTATTTGTAATTAGTGATCATAAAATAATAAGAGAATGTGAAACAATAAAATAATAAACCTATATAAGTATCATATTTTCGCTGAAGGACAAAAAAGGAGATGAAATACCCAAACATAGTTTTCGTTTCCAAATCAAGAGGTAGATGATAAAACAACATGACTGGGAATCATGAAGTAAATGTAAAACTTGTCTACAACCCCCCCCCCCCCCCCCCCAAAAAAAAAAAATAAATAAATAAATAAAGGCAGAAGGTTTAGGAGAAGTAGCAGAGAGAGGTGATTAAAAAAATGCACATGCTCATCACTTGGAAAACGTAAAAGAAAACCCAGTTCATTGTACTTCCACTCTCGATCAACACAATGAGCTGGTTATTTTTAAGCTTTTAAGTCGGTTTAGAATCTTCAGATGAGTTCTTTAATAATGGCTTTGGCTCAAGGAAAGACGTGAAAGCACTGGAATTCATAAAAAAGATGACTCAGCTCAGCTGCTATTAGGGCAAAATACCGTACCCTTCAACACATTACGAGGTACAATAAGAGGCTCATTAGTTGGATGGGCGGCAAACCCTACCTTCTTTTTTGCCTATCATGCAAGTGTGTAATAAATATTTCAGCCAAACTGTTCAAACTCATTAAAGAAATAAACCTCACGACTCCACACACACACACGCATATATGTGGCTACAAGTAGCTAATCGGCATAGATTGCTTCGTCCATCGGATATGCACCAGAGTATATGAAGGATTCAGGTTATTTAATGCAGATAAAACCACAAGGCAAAAATTCTTCAAGAGCTAGTCTTACATTCTTGTATCACACCCAACTTTAAATATGTTCTTCACTGCATGATGGTCCAAACCCTAGTTCATACCGTGCCATATCCAACCACAAAATGAATAAAAGTAAAGTTTTTCGACTAGCTGAACTTTGCAGGAGCAAGTGCTGCAAATGATGGAATATATGAAAGAGCTGTTTGGCTAGACTTTGAAGAGTCGTTTCCTCATCTCCAAAATGAAAAACTAAGACACAAGGATGGAGAATAAAGGTTTAACACTGATTCTTCAGAAGCACTCCATAAAACTTCGGCAAAATGGCCATTTCTTTATCTAGACACGAGGTCATCTTTAATAGTTTTCAGGGTTCGGTTTCATTTCTAACAGAAAATGAATCAGAAAGTAATAGCACTTCTGCGGAATTCTACTACACGATGACACTACACAATGTGGCCTTATTTCTTGAGAGGCTATACTTGGAAGACACTAACATGGAGTGATCAGCTTTTTTGAGTAGTTTACCCTTAATACTGGGAAGGAATGATGCTGTTACATCTGTAGTTTCCAAGTACTTGAAGAATGAAAGATTAACATGATGGAAAACTCACAAGGAAATAGAACCGAAACTGAACACACTGAATGATGTAGAAGAAGGCAGAGGAAAGAATGGGAAAAGGAGACATTCATGTTTTTCGATCTCTGCTGACATGAATTGATAAAATCACAAATAGTGGGTCAAATTACCTATCAAGCGCAGACAAGGAAATTTGGCCTCCTCTCTCCATATGCCTTTGAAGATACACCCTCTGATGCAGAATATGAAAACAGAATTCAAGCAATGCAATTTAAAATTAGACTGCCTGCAACCTGTAAATAACCACCCACGCTTCGGTGGGGACGTGGGAAGAAGCTCTCCAGGAACCTTAAGAAAGATCAAAACAAATAAAGCTTCACTGTAAAACATGTTGAAATGTGTTTGAGATTTCTCAGAAGCCCAACCTTCAAAGTTTAATCATGTAACCAAACAAATTGACTACTTCAGATGGATCAAGAAGAGACTTAGGGAGGGAGGGGGGGAGGGAGGGAGGGGGGAGGGGGGAGAGGGAGAGAGAGAGAGATTAGAGGGAGTAAAAACTAAGAGCAGATGTGAGTTGCAAAAACCTGCTAAGATGAGGCTCAAAAACAACCAACTGAACCACAGCAGTCCCCTGCTACTTTAGTAAACATGTTAGAAACTTATTTTATAAACGAATTTCCAAGGTGCTAGCGGTCTACCCTTCAGAGCATAAGATGTTATACCAGATTAGAAAGGTAAAAAGAAAACAACAACAAAAATTGTAATATACAAGAAAGAATGAGTAAAGGGATAAAAGTAAAGGAAATGAAGAAAACAGTGAAAGGGAGCTCCCTTCAGTCCAAGCATAGAGAAGAGAAGGATGAAATTTATCTCCTGCATCATTCACACATTCAAAGTAGCACAAATTAAGAACTCTTCTACCTTGTTTGAATGAATGAGTCAGCAGCTAATCCAAACCCTTCACCCGCCCATGGGTGGATTGAAGGAAGCTCCCTTAAATCATTTACCATAATACCTTTATCCAAATGTTTCAAGTAAACCCCCTGAAACTGCAATTGATAACATTTAAGTATGATATGAGCACATAAATTTAATCGCCGACAAAAAAGAATACCATAAGAATTTAATTTAGAAAATAAAAATGTCACTCTAACAATTTCTTTCTGAATAAGTATCATGGAAGGTAATCTCGGAAGTCAATGACAAGATTAATGCAATTTCCTGGCAAGCAACTGCAATGTAATGCCTATTCCAGAAATTCATAGCTTATCAAGATGAAAAGATTGAAATACTACAAAACCAAAAAATAAACTTCAAATCATGATAGCATACCTAGATGAGC